TCTCCCCTCCAGCCCTGGAGGCCAAGCTCAAGGTTTTCTCTAGCTCAGTGTTGCTGCCTGAAGGAGCTGAAGGAGCTGGATTTTTCTGAAAACCTCCAAGGCTGCAGCAACCTCATCTCCCTGCACCTCTCCATCCCTCAAGCCAGTGTCCCCCACCCTGGAAGTGGCTGGTTTGACTTCAGCTGGGAAACACCCAGCCAGAGGCTGGCTCCAGCTCCTGATGGTGATTTAGGCATTCCCACAATCCCTGACAGCAGTGAGAGGAGCAGGCACCAGCACACACACACAGCAAGTGCAAAGTGACCCCCAGGTGACACCTGAGGGCTCAGGACACCCTGGCTGCACTTCACCTACTGGTTCAACTCAGCTCAACCCCTCCATTTGGGATGCAGATGCCAAAACACCCCACATTCAGCACCAAAACCCTTCTTGGGTCCTGCAGGAGGAGTTTAGGGTTTGCCTTCAGCACAGAGATGTGCTTGAGCTGTCTCTGTGAGGGGTTTTCCTCCTCGTACCCTGCAATTCCTGAAGACCAGGGAAGTGTTTTCAGCTACTTCAGCTCTCAGGAACAACAAAAACCCCACATGGATCAGCTCTGGAAAGAGGGGAAGAGCAGGGTGCATTCACTGCCAGCAAGCAAGGTGGCCACTGTCCCCAAGGCATGCCATGAGACCTCTGAGGTGTCCCCCACCCACCCCCCTTCACATTCTGTACAGAAGACACAGATGTAAAAATGAGTAGCTCTGAAGCACTGCAAAACAGCCAGTCCTTAGCACTGAAAGCCAAAAAAACCACATCCAGAAAATCCAGGGCTGAGGGGAAGATGAGGCTCTGCCTGGCAACAGAAGCCAATGTGCCACAGGGGTTTGGGACACAGGCAGGCACGGGGAGATGAAGAGGTTAAAACTGCTGAAATGCACAAAGACATTTTTATTTTATCCACCCACAAGCAAAATTCTCCCCCCTGAACATGGTAGTCAACGATGGGAGTTCATTCACCCACATCTTGCTGTCACCCTGAAATGAAACATGGGGCCAGAAACATGCTTGGTGATTTGGGGCTGAAGATGGCCCTAAAAAAAAACCCCAAACACACCTTTTACTTTTCAGAAATCATGCAATTCCCCTCTCTAAATGTGAACTATTCACAGCTCCTGACAATCCTGGCCAAAAGCCCTCAAACCTCCCTTTAAAGTGTGGGACAGGCTCAGTCAACTCAAGGTGAACTGTCCCAATATTTACTGTAAAAACTGGCCCATGCTAAACAACAAAGCAAAACCTACAAATATTCTAAACCAACAAATTCACCCATCTACAGCTCTGGATGTTTTGCTCTATGAGCTCTATTATTATTTTCCAATAAAACCATTCAAGTCAACCTTCTTTTTTTGGTAGCTTGGAACTCAAAACTCCTTGCAGAACCTCTTAATTTGGGGTAGTTCAGTGTTTCTTTTCTACCTTGAAAAGAACTTTATTCTGGAGCGGTTTTGGGTTTTTTTCCTCTTGTGCAGCAAACACAAGAACATCCAAACCTGGTTTTTCTATGCAGTAAATTTCACCCACAAACCATCAAGAATGGAAGGTGTGGAGCTGAGGATCCAGGCCCACAGGCAGAGATCCCACCTAAGGGCAGGATCGCTGTAGCAGCCCCTGGAGGGGAAAGGAGGATGCCTGACAGTGAGATGAGGATGGGGAAGTTGTCTCCTCTCCAGCCAAGCTGCCCCAAAGTTTGGTCCCCAACGCTCCCCTCGAGTCCCCTCTCTGACAACAACCACGTAACCAAACATGAAATGACCATTTCACCAACAACAAACCCCAAAAACCATCCCTGTTAAGGTGCAAAGGCGGCTCCCCGAGACGTTTGGGAAGGGTCCCTTGGGGACCCCCTTGTGAAATCTGTGCTTGTCTCCACTACCACTACTTTATACTAGAAACTACAAATTACTTCATTTCTCCCGATCTCCATACAAATATAAAAGCTGAAGCTATTCCAACCCCATATAATCTAATTATTCTACATTACAGTGCTGGAGATCACTTCCAAAGCCGGACCTGCATTCCCACCTCGACTCCTCTCCCTACGTGACTCGGCCTTCTCTGGCCCAGGGAAATCTCCAAGTGCAGCTAAAGCTTTTTCTTTTTCTTGCACTAACACACATAATTTAAGGGAAGGGGGACAAGACAGGGAATTAAACAATGTTAATGTGTACACAGTTATATTACACCGCACCCAAATGCTTCAAAATCCTCTCCGCCTTCCAGGAGCTCACCCGGCTTTCCGAGCAGCACCAAGGTTCTCCAAGCTTTCTTTTTTTCCCTGCTCCTTTTTTTTTACCACCAAAATTGGAAATCTGGTAACGGGAGCCCTTGGTCAAATCTCTGCATTCAGGGAAGGACCCTGAATTTTCCCAAGGTTGGGTCTTTTTTCTTCATGAAGAGCAAGGAAAAGTGAATTGTCCTGGCAATATTCAGGTTTAGCTGTGACACATCCGACTGAATTCCACAGCAATTAGCCAAAGAGAGGGAGGAAATACGGAAACACCAATGGAAATATGGAAACACCAATGGCTGACCTGCTCCTAGTGTTTTAGTCATGGATAAAGTGCAGAGGAAGGGGGATTTCAAGGTACCTGGGATGAGGGGAAGGGTTAAGTGGGGTGCAATGCCAACCACTGCCACAGACTCTGTTTCCAGGGAAAACAGCTTTGGCTGCCAGGCTTCTGCTGGGATTTCTCATGGACTGGGTCACAGTTAGAGCTTGTTTTGTTCCCAACATGCTCAAAAGGTGTGAGCAGCTTGGCAAGAGGGTTCCAAAAAAGCAACAAGAGTGGCTAAACACGAGCCAAGGAGCAGGAAAGGGGTGGGAGAATGGAGTGGAAGCAACAGGAACCACGATTCCTGTGGATCTCCAAGTGCCAGGAGGCGTTGCCTGATTCTGCACCTGGATGGCTCCAGAGCAGCCTCTGCAAAGTGCAAACACATCTCCTGGAAAGCCTCTCCAAGCCAAGCCCCACCAGGATCCAGCCAAGGGGAGCTTTCTCCACGCTCTGCCTTTCCCTGTTGTCCCCCACCCTGCAAGGAGTGACTTGGTGACAACGGCCCTGGGTGACCTCACCTGGCAGGTCCCTTGCAGCTCAGGATATTCTGGGATCTCCTGAACCTTCCAAGCGAGCTCTGCCACGTGCAGGGCTGGGAATCCTCCCCACAGACCCCCACACCCACACTGCTTCAACACAGTTCTGCCAACACTTAGGGGAAAACCACGTTTAGGTTAAAAGCAACCGTGCTACCACTTAATTAAAGCATCACTTGGCTTGTCTGGATGCATAATTTTTCCTGTGATACACTGGAATTTCCTCTCCTAAAAATATTCTGTGCTTTTTCAAGGGTTGCCCTCAGAAGATTTTTAGGAAAGGACCACGAAATTTGTCTACCTGCTATCTGCCTGGTTGCCCTTGTTTCTCAAAGCTCACCCCCAGCCTTGTCAGAGGAAGGAGGCCCAAAGAGAGCATTAAACGATGTACAGAAAATTATATCAATTAGGAAAAAAACCCAGCTCTGAAATGGAATGTGCACTTTGAACCCTGCCCACCCTGGGTTTGAAACACTGGACTTGGTTTTTAGGATACAAATGCCCTGGATGCTCCTGGGGGGAACAGGAGACAGCTCTAGCACCTCTGGGATTGCCATTCCTGAATTCCTGCTGTGGCAAAGCTCCTGAGCACCAGCACACAGAGGGGGTTTCACAGCATCCCCTTCAGCTGCACATCAGCTGGGCTGTCCCCTCCCTGAGGGACCACCTGTAAGTACCAAACGTCAGGAATGGTGGAGAAACGGCAGTTCAAAATTAAAAAATTTTCTAAATTAAAAAAAAAAAAAAAATCAATTATTTAGAAGTATCCCAGTGGGAAGGGAATCAGCTGTGTCTGGTGCAGTCAGCCCAGGCTGGCTGGAGAAAGATTCCCTCACCCTGATACCCAAAGGTCTAGAAAACAACAAAGTACAAAAGGACAACACCACCAAAGAGGAGAAGCTGGTCAATATTCCTGTGCTTCCACCCTGAGGCTCATTTTTCGGCCACAATTTTGCCTCAAATCCGTAATTTTTCATTTTTTTGGTTTTCCTTAAGATAACCACATGGCATTTCTTCCTTTGAATTTTGTCCACATTCAGTTTATTTAGCAACTGCTCCTCCCATTTGTGTGCTGAATGAAACCCAGAGCCCCAAGGAAGAACACCACCAAAGGCCTGGGAAATACACAGGAGCAGGTAGCAAATTACTCTGCTGTGTGCACCTCACTGCCTTCACATAATTGCTCCTTTGCCATCAAATTCAGTTGAGTTTTCAACTCTCTCCATGATAAACCATGCCCCCGTCCCCACATTGCCATATGCCGCTTCTAAAGAAAAAAGAAAATTAAAAAAAAAATCACTTTTCTGCCTGCCAAAACCTCTGCTTCCCCACGCCAGAATCCTGCTAGTGGGAAGCAGGAGAAGCTGGGATGCAAGACCAAAATAACCCAATCAAGTATTAAAACTTGGAATTGAAATGAACTGTCCAGGCCACTTGCACAAGCCATTTTTCTTGCGGAAAGCAGCGGGGCTGGGAGGGAGCGCAGCCGTGCCCTGCCCGCCGCGGTGAAGGCTATCAATTCTGAACTTAATCAAATCTGATCTTCCCCCAGCCAGAATGGGGCTTTTTGTCTTGGCTTGTGAAAGCTTCCTGACTTCTGGAGTAAAATATATTTACAGTGCTGAGGAACAGCCTCTTTTCTCCTTTCTAAAAGGTCTCACATGCTTTTTTTTTTTTCTTCCCTGATCTCCTTCTGATATGTTGTTCCTCACAGGCTTTGGAAAGAAGAGTTCACTGCTGGGAATATTATCGATGTACAATAATGATCTGTAACCCACAGATCCTAACTAGTTGCACATTATTTAGTTCACATCCATTACAGTTTATAAATTAACAGAGATGTCATTTTCTGTACAAAAAAAAAATCCATGTATATTTACGGTCTTTTTTTTATTCAAATAGATTTTAAATACATAGAATCTAGAGACACAATACAAAAATCTGTATAAGTTAGGCAATGCATCACAGGAGTGACCAAAAACTCAACACAATTTACCTTGGCAAAATGACAGAACCTATTTCTGCTGGCTGAAAACTTAACAAAAAAAAAAAAAAAAAAATTAGCCTTTAATGCATTTATTAATTTCACCAAATGTACTTGAAATGTTGTTTTCCATAGCGGTATTCATTATTCCTTTTTGTGTTTCAGGCTTACTCTTATTTATTTTTTCCATTTTGTTTTTACACCAAGGAGACTGCAGTCAAATAACACTCAGCAACTCATTTCCTCTCTTTGGACTGAAAAATTAAACAGATACTAAATTATGACAGTGAATTTAGAAAGGAGGGCTCCAAGGGCTCGAAAGAACATGTCTGAGATAATATGATGCTTCTAAGAATATTGCAATCACATCCAAGCAATCACCGAAGCGTGCCATGTAACTACCTCCTCAGCTAATATGCTTTTTTCTCCGTGATGACTAATCATGTTCTATTAAACAGCAGTAATGCTGGAAGAACTCAACTATACAAGTGTAATGAAGCCAGTATTCTCCCCGGACAGATTAGCTACAACTGATTTGACACATACCATCATAGGAGCTTCAAACCTGACAAACTCTGTGCTTGCTTCTGATTTATGCCGTCAAGCTCTTCAGGAGAAGAGAATGGAAATCCAGGCGTCGCTGCGTTCCGTAGAGGTGAAATGTTCTGATGTGCTTCACTGTCACTTAGGGAAAGTCACCATCTCTCCTTCCTTCCTTCCTTCCTTCCTTCCTTCCTTCCTTCCTTCCTTCCTTCCTTCCTTCCTTCCTTCCTTCCTTCCGCTCCGGCTCGCCTCTCCCCCGGCGGTGCCGCGTGTCCCCCGGGCGGTGCCGGTGCCACGCGCGGCCCATCCAGCGCGGCCCCCAAAACAACGGCCTGCCCGCAGCCCCCGCGCCCCCCGCGCTCCGCCCAGCGCTCGGGATGGACCGAGGGGAAAAGGGAGAAGGAGAGGTACCGGACTCACAGAGCGGAGCTGCGATGGGCATGGAGGAATGCGAGGCTGCGGACGCGGCTCGGCTCAGCGAACGCGCGAGCGAGCTCCCCTCAGATGATGGTGGGCATCCTCCCGCCGCCGTTGTTGCGGTTGTTGTTCTTCCTGGACAGGTTTGGGGTGGCCATGAGGGCGAAGCGCTCGTCGGGGCAGCCGTACTGCAGCAGCACGTCGATGCACTCCTGGCTGGAGGCCTGGCGCGCGTAGGCCAGCGCCGTGTTCCCGTGGGCGTCGCGCGCCATCACGTCCACGCCGTACTGTGGGGAAACGAGAGGGGGGCTGCTGGGAGCTGTGGTGGGAAAATTTTGGGAGGGGCTTTGGGATTGGATATAAGGGGAAACAAGAGGGGAGCTGTTGGGAGCTGTGGTGGGAAAATTTCGGGAAGGGGTTTGGGATTGGATGTAAGGGAGGGTGAGGGAGCAGCCTGACAACAGGAGCACTGCAGCGCCGAGCCGTGTACGGAAAAGACGCTTCCCGAGGGAGGGAGTCTCTCGTGCGGGACAAAATCTGCCCCAGCAGATTCCAAGCTAAGGGAAATCTCTCCTTCCTCCTTTCCCATGCTCTCCTTCGCTTTCCAACAAGCAGCAGAGAGGCAGGAACCTGCTTTTCCGCCGCCTTTGGAAAGCGTGCGGCGAGGAACAGCCATGCCGAGGCCGTGGCGCCGTGAAGGCCTCCAGGAGCAGCCGTGCCCGTCCTCCCGAGGGACACAGCCCAGCCCGGGCAGCGAGTCCTTACCCAGATGAGGAGCTGCAGCAGCACCACGTTGCCCTTGCGGCAGGCCAGGTGCAGCGCCGTGCGCCCGTCGCCGTCCCCGCAGGTCTCGTTCACCTCCTCGCGCGTGCCGTGGGCCAGCAGCAGGATCACCGTCCGCAAGTCCTCCTCGGCCGTGGCCCTCAGGAGATGCTGGCCCAGAGAGAGCTCCAGGCACTGCAGCGGGGCGAGGAAGAGCTTCTGCTCGTACTTGGCGCGTATCCAGAGCTCTTTTTCTTCCCTAGGGGAAGCCAGAGGGGACAGGTCACTCTCACCCGGTGTCGCAGCCAACAGTGCTCAACCAACAAGGAGGTTGTTTCCCCTTTCAAATTTATGTCAAGAAAGCCCTTACAGGAACAGTTCACCCTAACCTCAGGAGCAGTTCACCCAAACCTTGTGTTTTTAGCACAAGGTTTTTGTGTTTTTTTGTGTTGTCCACCTTACTGTTCCAAGTGCTCGGGATCCTCCTTGATGGATGCTGTGCCCATGGGGTTGTAGGAGCACAACAGCCAGGAGGTCCTAAAAAGCCCTGGGCCAGCAACAGGTCAGGGCAAGAGCCCTTGGTGCCACAAGGACACAACAAGCAGCCGGGTTCCACTTTAAGGCTGAAAACACACTGCAAAAAAATGCACCCGATTTCTGTATCCCAGACCAGAAGTAACCAAATGGGGGCTTTGTCCCCCTCCAAGCTGAGTAATGCTCCCAAAGGCATAAGGATGATTCCTCTTGTTTTCCCAAAATTCAAACCAGTGCTTTGAATCACCTTTTCCTCCTGAGATATCAAAGAACCATCAGAAGCTTTCTGGTGCTATCAGGTTACAGCAGAACAAGGACTACAAACAAGGCCCTCCGCTCACCATTTCAAAAATTACCATACAATTACATGATCTGAGAGCAGCAGCCCCAGACAAAAAAGTCCCATTTAGAGGTCCCTCAGGTAATCTGCTCAGCCTGTGAAAACCACAAACATCACCTGAGCCAGGCAACTGGGTCCTGGTGACAGATTCTCTCCTCCGGAGTACAAAAGGCCAAGCTCTGTTTACGCCTTTCAGCCGTGTTTACACTGCTCCCAGTAATCTAGTGTCAGGTTAGCCCTAATCTGTTTTTAAATACTTATGTAAACATCTCCTTCCACCAGCAAATCTGGATTAGTTTTGCATCATTTCCTGGGACATGCGGAGTGACCTCGCTGTGACCTGCCTGGATGCTTTCAGGCACAGCTTCCCAAAGCAGCCACAGCTTCCCTGCCCCGGCCATAGTTTGCCCCACAAACACGGCCAGGGCTTCTCTTCAGAGCAAAAGTGCAAACAGAAAATTAACACAGAGAGTGCTTCTTTCACCTCAAGCCTCTGAGTGACTCCTGCAAGCTAAAAGACACACCAAAAAAAACCCCTCCGCAACCCATTTGGGCAGTTGCAAATTAACCTTTGATGGCAGGATCTGATAAATGGAGTATGGCTGCAGGTATTCCAGATGGAGAGGAGGAAGAAAAGGAGTTCTGTTATCAGAATCTTTAATTCATGGTTTTTCTAATTACATTTTTTAAGGTAAAAAGCCAAACCAGAACCAGTGCCACGAACGGGATAAAGTAACACGCAATTATCTACAATTAAATGGGCATTCTTGCAACAGCTCTACTCCCAGTATCCAGCTAGATTATGTTCAAGGATGTTAGCAAAGATCTCACATGATTTTTAAACACACACAGAGGTATTGAGAGTATAACCAACACATCCACTACACGTTTAAAATGTGCCAGACTGGAAAATGAGGTGATTCAACCTGTGCTGTTCACCCACAGTAACACACACCAGGGCTCTGGGAATTTATTTTTCATATGTCCATACATCCTAAAGGCAAAATACTCCTCAGATATGTAAGTAATATTTTCTTTACCTTTGCCAAGGGTCTGCAAATGAATCTCCCTCTCCCCCAGATGATTTTTGGAGTGAGAGAAACTTTTGACTCCTATCAGAGCACTGCTTGCTCAAGAAAAAGTCCCTTTCTATTGAGAAAAAAAGTCACAAGTCTCTCACTTCCAACCACCATTCAGCCTAAACTATAGTTTAGTGAGGCTAAACAGAGAGAATAACTGCTTAGTTCAGGCAGAGGCTCTCCAAGCTTGAGGCAGCTTGAGGTTCACAAATCTATCAGCACCAATTTCACGTTTGCTGTGCGTCGCGTGGGCAACCCTGATGCTCCTGGAAGGATGCAAGAAAGAGATATAGGAATGCCCCAGTCCTGCTCAGTTTTGTCCTACTGCCCCAAAAGGCTGGGGAAAGAACAGGAAACTCTTTAGAAGCCAATGTCACAGGAAGGGGAATGCTGCTACCTGCCTCAGTGCTGGGCACCAAATGAATTCAATCAGTAAGGTGCAATTCCACCTTCGGAGTCACATCAAGGGTTGTGGTGGAATTATAAATTAAAATAAAGGTGCTTCGAGGCCTCAGATGTTCGGGACAGCACGTCACTGACATCAGTATGGAGTGAGATTCAGGTCTTTTCAACAGTACAAACTGGGCACAAGGAAGATTTGGATGTTAGGGATGAAAACAAGATCTCATCAGAGGTAGGAGGAAAAGCACACTGGACTACACCTCATGGACAGCCACAACACACAGGGACTGCTTTCCACTGAGCATAGAGAAAGCCAATGTCCACAAACATCCTGCCTCCATCTCTGGCACAAACCATTTAATTTGGATGGGAAGTCCTGGGGACTTTCCTGGGAGACAGCTGCAGCTCCGCCGCTCCCATTCATCTCGGAAACCCTGACAACAAGACATAAATACTGCAATTGTTGCTCTGATGCCCCAATTTCACTTCTGGGATCCACAGCTTGTCTTGGTTGAGGTTTCATTTCCCCCAAGGAAGGCCAGTCCAAGAGCAGAGTTGTCAGCAGTAGATCACTTAACCTCATTGCAGTTCCCCGGAGGACCACTGCTCACATCCCCTGTTAGTTAATGAGCTAAAAAATGAATTATTGGAGCGGTCAGCAATAAGCAGGAAGAGGAGGCACAGTGTTTCATTTCAGCCAGCGCTGACATACCTTTAAATAAATCAACTGAATAAGAGCACGAGGAAGTGTGAGGGAGAGCAACTCATCAGGAGAAAGACACTGAACCAGTCCCTAAAATAAAGGCTAGTAAATATTTCCCTCTTTTCCTCCCTTAATTGCAATCTGGGCAATTCTAAATGACCCTCTCCATACCAGACACTTCCAGCTGTAGCTGTCAAAGTCAAACCAAGACTCTTTTCAGACTCTTTCTTGGTTCCAAACCAAGAACTTTCAGCAGTGGAGTCCTTGTCTCAGGAGCAAATCAAAGTTCCTGTGCCATAGAAGAAACATCTTCACATGCTCTGATGGTCCCAATGACACCAAACACTGGAGGAGGTCTGAGCTGCCTCTTCCTCATATACAGCAAAATAGAATACGGTTATATTCTATTCTAAAATAGATTATAATATGATTATAATCTATTCTAAAATAGAATAGATTATGAGCTCCTAGACAAACTTAGAGAAATGAACAACAGAGCCCTAAGGTCAGAAGTTCTTTGAACCTTTTCTCTCCAAATATCTGCATTAAACCCTGATCTGTACCTGCTGGCACAGGCTCCAAACCTCACTGTGTTTGCCCCTCACACAAGGGGCACATACAGCAGAGGATCACTGCAGAAGACTCTACAGAAGCAGGAATGAGTCACCAGTCTTGCCCAGAAAGTGCCACCAAGCTCTCTGCTCCTGCAGGAGTCTCCATCACTCATGAACCCTGAGAACACACAGTGGTGTGAATAACGAAATCCCTGCTGCAGCAGCAACACTGTACATAGGTAAAAGGTTATTAGAAACAGATGAAAATTTCAGTTCTCAGTTTATTTTGATCTAATTAGGTGCTTGCTTCTCAAGATAATGTCCAATTATTTAAATTACTCTGCCAGCCACATCACATCATTATTATGTGGAAACATAAATACTGGGCACTGGAAGGGGGGAGGGTAAGCAGGGAGCATCAGAGAAGAGAAAAAGCAGATTTGCTTCCAGCACAGCCTCGCTCCAGTAGCTGCACTGTGTTCCCCAGCCGTGGGTTTGCACTGGAGATGCTCCTTGAGGAGCCCACATCCCACACAGCTCAGCCCCATCATGTGGTGCACTGGGTTTTCCACCCTACAAAGGCCATCAGAAGCCTCATCATGGTGGTATCCACTCTCCATCCTGACTCCTCCTCACTCCCATTCACCTCTGCCTTCACCTCCATTTGTCCCTCACAGATTTTTGGTGGAGTCACATCAGCAAGCAAACAGGAAGAGGATGGCCAGGGTGGGAAAAAAAGTCGTGCTCATACAGTGACCCAGAACTGCCTGAGTAGGCAACAGCACGTGGCTGGAGAGCCTGGGAACTTGCCATCAGAATTCCACAGCTCCAGAGCAAGAGCAGCCTTGCTCTGCCCAAAGCATGACTAAAAGGATGACTAAAATGTCGTGTCGTTATCCAGAGTTACTCACCACTTGTTAAAAAGCTGGATCGAATTCTGACGGTTGAATTAGAAAGACAGTGGACAGCAGGTATTTACCATGGCACAGCACTGATTTCCCACCACCAGAATAAGAGCAGGCTCCTTACAGGCACTTTGAAGTGAAGTTTTATCCTCCACACCTCTGACAACACTGAAAAGCTCCAGAATTTTTTTCATCCTTTCTTCTCTCTTGCTACAGGAGCTAACTCTGTAAGAGAGGAGGCCTCTCAGAGGTGTCTCCATGGTGGCTGTGCAGGTGCTGTGCCCGTGTGTTGCCATTTCTGGTTGCTCACTGAAGTGCAACCCTTTAACGCCGTGGTAACCTGGCCAGCTCAGCAAGAGCTCTGCCAAATTTCCTCTCCTGTTGGCCAGCTGACAAGGTTAATGTGTCTCTTCCAAGAAAATGAAGTAAATCTAACCCACTGCACTTCCCAAACTCCTGGAAGAGCCCCAGGATGTGTCATTAGCTTCGTGGTCCAGCACACAAGGAGCACACATCACCTAATGACCGGCGCTGGGCAGCTGCATGTGCAGGGGCTTCCTGATTAAACATCCCCCTCTGTGATGATCCCAATAAATGGCACTGCTTTGGACAGGCCTGGTGATGCAGGGTTGGGGTGGGTAAAAGGAAAATGTTGAGGGTGGGGGCAGGATTGAAATGTTGGAGAAAGGTTCACGATGCTTTTAATTGCAACAGCAAAAGGGGGGAGAAGAAGAGAGGGTGA